CCGCCACGTGCTGATCCGTTCCGATTATCCCACATGCGGACAATCGACAATGGATGATTAACCACGTGAGTTGGAGGCCCGGACTCACTTGTCTCACCCTCCGGCTTGGAAAGAATGTCCTACGTCCTTAAATACCATACACCCTCAGCACCCGCATGACCCTCCATACTGTAACTTCACACCACGTATAGATCTCTTATAGGTCTTCGTCGAGTAAATTTTCCAAACACTCCTCACGCCTACACTGTACGCACTGAAAATATCATACGTTTAACTAACCCAAAATTAACTTTACACAGAGAAAAAACAAAAACAAAAGAACAAACTTACAATAGTGAAAACTGACCAACAAAACAAATACGCTTACCGGCTAGTGAGATAGGGAAAACATAAAAATATGCCAGTCCAAACAAGTCTTCCCTATTCTAATGGCTACCAGTTAAACAGTCCCTATAAACTGTAGTTTTCGCCACACCCTGAGAACGTATAGGACAAGTCCAAACTTGTTATCCCGCTGGTGTTGTTACCGCTCCCTAATCTGACGACTCTGGCCTAACCGGTCGCTTTTATACTCACGCTAAAAATAGCTTACACAATACACCCGTCTATGGAAACCCACTACCGTCAAAACAAAATATAATAAACCGAAATTAAACAACCATGCATTCACACAAAACTAAACAATAATCGAATCAATTTTATTACATCCATATATTTCATTTCATGATCAGATTCTTTTACAAATTCGTTTTCATCCGTTTTCATCCGATGGCAATGAAATTTTACATAGGTTTATGCATGGAAAATCTTTTTAAAATCTTCTCCTCAGGTATATAAAATTAGAAGTTAAGTAATCAAAAATAGTTATAAAGTATCTCTGAATCCACAAAGTTATGTAAATTTATCCACAGTATTTCTTTAACATTAAAGATTAAAGTTATTAATATTATATAGGGAAAATTGTCAAATCATTTTATAGGGTACAGATGTCAACTTTTACAAGACCTTTTTTAAGACTTCCCAAAACATTGAATCTTATAAAGTTAAATAAAATGAAAATTGTTGCATAACAAAATTTCATTTTCAAGCTTCATTTTGATGCATGTCAAATTAAATATTAATTTTTGGAGTTATCCTTCCTGGCTGAGGATCGGATATTCTTAAGTGTGTGTGATTCACACACCAATAATTCACACTAAACTTAAAAACTTTCCTTAGATTTACATTTTACTGTTTTGAAGCACCAAAAATATACTCAATATTTGAATTTCTCATTGCCCTATATCGTTGTACTTTTACTAAGGTAGCTGTAACCTAATTGTGACGTCGCTGTAGCCTTATTGTGTTAACGCACATTTCTCCTTGTATATTTCTACGCGTGAGTATACACGAAAATGGTTTTCAAATCAGTTTCTCAGTTGGTTTAGTAGAAAAACACAGCGAATCAATGTAAATATATTATAATGGACGCATCCTAAGACTGTGGACACTAATATTTTGTTTAAATCATGATTCCTTTGGGTAAGATTTGGCAACTATGGGCGATCAAAGCTTTTCATGTACATGTATATGAATAGGAAAGACTCTTTTCAAAATTAGGAGAACTGAGTAAGCGGGTTAAGTTTATTTTTTCTGCAGGCTGCAACATTAATTGAAACAAATACAGACATTTTATTTTATTTTTTTATTTACGTCTGTATGTAAAAAAAAAATAAAGTAAAATTAAATATGTTTAACTTGAGTTAACTTAAGTTTTACTTGGAGACTTACTTTTACATTGAACAGCTGACTTTTACATTTTAGTAATTATAGTTGGTTTTTGTTTAAATAGCAGAAGTCAGTCGACGATTGTAAAATTAAGTCTCTTCATAAAACTCCAATAGTGTATCATAGTCGAGTATATCATTGCATGCATAACGGATGGAACAAACGTCTATATCTATACAAGTGGTTTGTTAAGTGTCGTTGATGGACTGATTAACGACAATGGTCTTTAACAAATAAAAAAAATATGTCATTAAGTGGATGTAAAAATATTAGAAATACATGCACGTTGAATGCATACTTGAAAAGGAAACTTTCTTTTTTTCACACAGTATGATAGAGAATTAAATGATAAGGAGTACCTTTAATAGTTACCCATGCAATACCGGTATGACTTGGATTTGAAAATTAGTTTACGCTTTTATGTTTATATTTCCAATAAATTTCCCCTATGATTCTTTACAAAATGAAATGCAGTGTATTTTCTCATGAACTGCATTTAGTATGTATCACGAATAAGCATGAATATCTCCATTGTTACTTCATAATACCGCTCTTGACGTCAAAAAGTAGAAAAATATAGTGCACACTGTTTTGTTTTTAAAAAATTGGACAATTGGACAGGGTAAAGCTATGGCAAGTCATCAGAAAAATGATGTAAATATAAGAGATGAATTTAATTTTTTGAAGCTTCATGAGGTATATTTATCATGAAGCGCGTTAGCCGGCGTGGAGCGTTGAAGTTCATAACTTCATGAATCTTCAAAAATTAAATTCATTTCTTAATTACATGTATAAGCCGCTTCGCGGTATATAAAACGTAAACTGTCCAAACCAAGATTATACCATAACTTGGGTAGCTATTAAAGTCACTTCTTTAATATACAAGAAAAAAACCTATTTCAATCGGGATGCTGATATACCCCAATTATCAAATCGTGGACCAGCGATGCATTCCTCCTTAATAACGTTGGGTTTCAAAATTCTCGTTTTAAAACATTAAGGGTTTTTACCTTTTTATGATATTACTTCATATTACTGATAAAACCCCATTTTTCTTGCCTTCTTGTACATGTATACATTTGGGTATATCTACTTGAGAATGGCGACATTATTGTATATGATTTCCCTGCATGTATTTCAAAATCTTGTGCATTGTCCTATTTTCTCTGATAATCTGGATGACATAAATTGCATGTCTACTCCATGAGAACAATTTTTTGATAATGTCTTACCTTATCGATAAGGTAAGGTGATATTTAGTTTTCTTTAAACATGTTAAAGGACGTACGTCGTGTATTTTTATTGCCTTTATAGCTAGAGTTGAAGAGTGACACTAAATGACCTGAGTGCTATTCTTTTACCGCTGACGGAAGTGATTTTTGTTTAAATTTTGTAGTGAGGTTTATTGACTTTTTGTGAGTGAGTATCAATATAAAAATGATTTGACGATTCATGTAGTTATTTAAAGTTTTAATATTTGGTCATGAAAATCAATAATTACATAGAAAGTAGAAACTGTCGATGTATGGTATAAAAGTGATCATTTAAAAAATTCACTTAGAATTCTTTTACCTATTTGTTGACAATATATCAACAAGTGATGTCAATAAATAAATGGGTCATCGGCCTAGATTGCACATGGGACCATGTCAAATTCAGGTGTAAGGAACATTGCTAAATAAATTTAATCTTTGTTTACCCTTACTATTTTTTTTTATTTACTTTATATTTCATAATGATACAAACTTTCAAGGAGTTTGCGAATAAATAAAGTATAAAATGAATAACACAAGGAATGATGTCAAAGTATGTAATATCTGATTTATGTTAGTACAATATTGAAGGGATGATCAGAGTATGCATTTATCTGAGCCACCTCGTGTTAAAACAACACATAAGCTGCAAGTCTGTTCAAATCAGAGGTCTAAAGTTTTCTGAGCAAACTAAATTCACACGAAGGTACATGTATATATAATATATTGCTGATTAAAACATAAATATCATGCATAGATGGTAGAAGCCCAGAAGGGAATTTTCAAGAGGTATTTAGTTTCTGTCTTCTTATACATCTATGAAATCGTAAGTTCATTTGACTCCTTTTTTATAGGGTTTTGAACTTTTTTGGACAAGGAATTTCAAATTATACATGTCAAACGTGGCATAATTTGGCAAATCATGATCAAAATAATTTTATTGACTCTTATAGACTCATTTTCAACTAAACATGCATAATCAACTTAAGGGACAAAAACATCATTGAATATTGATAATTTAGACATGTTAATAAACAATGATATAATACTATGAACTAAAGATATCTAAAATCTCTAGGACTATTCGTTATTCATATCTTTTAAGATTTGTGATAAATAGTACAGAAAAAACTTAAGCTTGTAAAAGGTAATTCACGTGTCTTTTTTACAAGAATACTTTGGGTAATAAACCCTGCTACCTTAAAACATTTCTTTAATATCATGTACCTATGTACCTGTAGTATCTTACTTTAATTAGCCTCTCCTCATTGTCAAACATATAAAGATTTAATACACCGGCAAAATAGACTTAGTTTATCTGTAAAGTGGAACTTTACCAATTGTTGATCACGTATTTTTGGTGCTGTAATAACATATTTGTGGAAGATTACAAAAACTAACTTTTAAAACCATTATGACATGCTGGTGTATTTAAACAAAATCACCTTTCCTGAAAGTGTTCATCTACAATAACTTTATATGCTTAATTATTTCAACACTGCTTAATATATGTATTGCAATTCCAAACTTTAACAGGGCACATAAAACCATTTCTATTTTATTTTAAATACGAATATATAAACAATATATACATTGAAACTCATTGTTGGTAGTTTTTCGTACATTGAAAAAAAAAAAAGTTATTGTCATATAAAGACTAAAACTCGCAAAATGATTTGTTCTTTTTTTTAGACATGACAAAGTTGGGTATTTCAATGCATTCCTGAAAGTACCAGAAATACACATATATCATATAGAATGGCAACAAGCTCTAATTTCGCTCAGCATTTTTTAGAATGTACGTTATGCAAAAACGAACCAGCAAAACACCTCTGCAAAACGTGCTCAAGCAATCTGTGTGAAGGATGTAAACTGAATCATCTTAAAGAGAAGAAAACGAAGAGGCACAGTGTGATGATGATATCAGAGGATAGGTACATGACTTTAAAGAATTCGAAAAAACAACTGACGTCTAGAGCGATGCTTACGGCTTGTGTTACGAGTAATCTCGAAAAGCAGTATAGCATTCGGTGTTGGAATCAACAACATATTGCTATCAGGGGTGATGACTGTCATGTCCCAATTATGGATATTGATGGCAACATTGTTCGCACCATAACTACAGATACAGAAAACGGGCCTTCTGATGTCGTGATATTGGACGAGCAAAATATAATTTATATCAAATATTACTCTAAACACATCGTTTTTGTGAAGAATATGGAAACGACACAGGAATTGAAAACTGTTACAACGACAGATTGGTATCCAATACAATTGTGTGTCAGTAGACCAAGCTACATCTTAGTTTGTGTATGCTTCCAGGAATATCATGACAGCAAAGATCAAGGACGTAAAGTTTTGCAGTACACCTCCACTGGGGAACTGATACGAGAGATTCGTTATCATTTTAACCGCCCACTTTTTATTGCTGAAAACATCAACTCGGACATAATTGTCAATGATTACTATAGTGTCAAGACCAAATACTTGGTGAAAGCTGTTAGTTCTAGAGAGTATTTGAGATTCATATATGACGGAAGTGTTGAATTTGGATTTGCATCCACGGTCGGGCCAGGTGGACTAGACTGTGATACCTTAGGACATATTATAATTGCGGATCATTACAATAACAATATCCATATAATAAACAAGGATGGCGGATTTGTGCGTTTCTTGCTCAATGAAAATCATTATGTGGACAAACTGTGGGGTATGTGCTTTGACGGAGTCGATTCAATCTGGATTACAGAACTGGAGTCCAAAAAATACAAACAATTTAGATACATGACAGTTGAAGGCTGAAATGCTTTTGTTATAACTCCATATTACTAATACAAAACTAGAGGTACTGTGAGTGCTGACGTCACTTAATGATACCCCACTTCCCATATGATCATATAGGCAAAATCCATGTTTTTTTTTTCTGGGAGACGCGTAATAAGTGTCAATTCAAAAATGAAATAAAAAGATGCATAATGACATTATGTTATAATAATGATAAGAATAACATGTCTTCAATGGTATACGAGGAGTTGTAAATAAAAAATAGGTGTCCTTCAATATCATAGAAAGAATGGAGTGTCCATGCTTTGCAATGTGAAAGCAGAAATACTGCATGTGTCGGATCAAACAGTAAAAAAGCAGGTGCACAATGGAACTATGTAACAAAGATTTTGTGAATAATGAGCAGTATTCAAGCTCAAAAGTTCATAAAACAATACAAATAGTAGCAGAGCACATACATACCTCTAAAACACACGAGAGGTGCGATAAGGATCAGGTGCCATGGAGGAGTGAGCTTCCCCTGCCAACCGGTCACATCCGTTCGTGCTCCTTGACATAATTGAGAAATAATGGAAACATTTATCGTCAAATCAGTGTGTAAATAATGGACTAACTAACAATAAGTATGAAAAATGTCAGTGAGCATTTGACTCAATTATAAATTGTATTTGCTGACAAGGTCATTGTATCAAGCATAGAATTTAGGAAATGATAAACGTTAAACGAGACTGTTGATATTCTTGCTTCATCAACTTGCTTGTCAAAAATTTACCTCGGTCTAGAAATTGTACATACGTAGAGTATTCTCTTATGTATCGAATCAACTGAGAGATAAAAACTCTGTATGCAGGTGATGAAGTTATATTCCTGCATAAGTAAGGAAAGTTGATGAGTGAAAAGTTAGTCATTACGTTCATCATGGAATTTGGTATTAGATGACCATTAACGTCTTTTTCAAGAAAAATATCCAAATATGAAATATGTGTCATACTTTGTGGTTCCTTTTATCTCAAGCTTACCGGGTTACATCGCATCAACATACATGTGTAAGAATGGGAATCACCATTGTTAATTGTTAATTGAAAAAATATACAGCTTCTATAATCTAAATTTCGAGATGAATGCCAAAGCAGTTTTTTTTCTTTTCATGTATAAGATTCTGGACAAATTCAGCGTCATATGAATACAAAAATAGGTCTGCTAATAAATGAAAGTGACGTTAAACTTTAGTCAATGGTAAAAGATTAGTTGTGAATAAGGGAAAGGTACCCGAAAGCGTAACAGACAAACAAACAGACGGACGGATATCCAACTTGTTTAACTTACAGGTAATTGGTCCCTTCCTTTCCGGAATATATTCATTTAATCAATGGTTGGAAAGTTACACAATATATGCGATCATTGAAGTCATATTTCATTACCCGTCAGTACATAATCCATAGTTATCTTGTAAACATTAACTTCAATTATCGTACACAGGTAATACATGTCGTGCAGTTACTAAGATAACCAGTTAGGATGAAATCAATTGCAATATAAAACAAACAAAGATATCACGAAACTCAGGTATTCCAACTCTTAAAGTTAGTAACGCCTCTTGTGTGCTAGATCATCACTGTTTAGTTTGACTATAGATACCTAATGACACAGGTCAGTCAAAAGAAACAAAACATCTAATATCAAAATCAATGAAATGTTGTATGTTTATGTTTTAAAATCCTTTATAAGTTAATTTTTACATTCCAATTTCGTTGTCCAAGATAAAAATTACAAATGGTAAATGCGCTTTATTTTGACATAAATGCAGTGGTTCATTTGCGCGATTAAGGTCAGACGACATGTTCCTCAAATATGTATAATTTTCCTAAGAATTTGTCATTGATGAATACGTACTTAAGCAAGATTCCTCACATAAAAATTAGGGTACCATACCAGGGATTTGGAAAAGATACCACACAGTCATATTTCCTATATAACTCTTATGGATAATCTTCTGAATGGCCAATAATACCTTTTTTGGTGTACTTGTATTTAAAAACAATTAGAAAAAAATGTAGAAATCAGAGGAGAATGATAAATGTGAATAATTTTTATATACCACCAGATACAAAACATATTTTTGAGGAAAGTTTCGTCTGACCTTAAAGAAAAAATCACGTGCGGGGCGGGACAAATAGAGACAGAGGCGGGGCTTGTTGCATGTGGATTTGCGGAATCAAGAGCATGTAAATATAAGGAATAACTGTCGGGAACCTGAACTTTATTCTCATATTAAATGACATGACATGTACAGTGAGAAGAAGATATGTACAGTATAATTAACAGGAAATATTAGATGCACGAAGAAGGGATAACAGAGTTTATTATACCTCATTATAAATATTCTAAACAACGCGTTATCTGATTGGTTCTAGGTTATCACGTGAGCGGGCCGTAAAACTTCATATTTCCCGTCGTCGGCACGCTTTTCATCATATTCCACCTCTTCGGAACACATAGTGAATTTTCCCACAATATAGTTCTCGTTCTTTGAACGAAAACTCCCGAGAGTAGTAGACGTCACAATAGCCTGGTTGACGTCACAAAACTGATGACAATGTGTTGAACAAAGGGTTTTATAGTAACTTTATGTTAACAATGAAAGTGAATTTGAGAGCGGTGCCAAATTTGAAAGTTTATGTTTAATTCAAAGGCTTTGCTTGTTTCGGTATAATAAAAAATTCATTGCATGAATGTTCGGGTAACATGAAGACTTATTCAGCCAAGAAATATCATATTCCCCTCGGGCGAAGCCCTCCGGGAATATGATTTTTCTTCGCTGAATAAGTCTTCATATTTCCCTCACTATCATGCAATAAATGTATAATATCAACCTAGAGAGATAACTCTCTCAATTATAATACCGGGGTATCTAACAATTAGTTTTTCGATGGCCAATATCATTTTCACTAATATTGCTCTTATTGTGACGTCACGTTAACGCACGTTTCTCCGTGTACATTTCTACGCGTGAGTAAACACGAAAATGATATTCAATTCAAAACACAGTTGGCTTAGTACAAAAACACAGCGAATGTAAACATATGAAAATAATTTGTCAAATACATAACCCTTGAGTTCTTTATAGACACATCGTTACGTATTGGATAAATAACAATATGGTGTTAAATAGTTTAGAGAAAACATTCTCTACGAGGGCCGAAGGCCCGAGGAGGGGATGTTTCCTCTCAACTACATGTATTCGATACTATCGAGTTATTTATCTTACTTTAAAAAAAATCCCTATTTTTGGCCCCAAAGAAACATTTACCCATCCAACTTTGCTGTAATACAATAGGATGTAGCCCATTAAATATCCAATCGTGACACAAAACAAGAGCCTAATCGAACACTCCTTTTATTCATGGACTAGTGAGCATGAAACTAAATGGTGCTGATATCATTTCAATCCTTTTCATTGTACTGAACAGTCATCAAATCAGACGAAGAATATTTTTAAATCCAAAGTAAAATATAGAGAGGTTCAGATGATGTTTTGAATACTTTTGACATGAAAGCTGAAGAAAACTACAAAATTTTGATAAAGGGTTGGGAATTGGTCATTACATATTATAAGATGATGGTTTATTGAGAAAAATTGTTGGATTCTTATGGAGTTCCATTTAGACAATACTTATTGTAGTGCTTATAAACAGATAAAAAAATGGCGGTGTCGCAACCACTATTGAAATAATTATATCAATAGTGGTTGAGAGTGCATTTCAATAACAAACATAGTAAGTAACCACTATTGAAATACGACCACTAATGAAATAATTATATCAATAGTGGTTGAGAGTGCATTTCAATAACAAACATAGTAAGTAACCACTATTGAAATACGACCACTATTGAAATAATTATATCAATAGTGGTTGAGAGTGCATTTCAATAGCAATCATAGTTAGTAACCACTATTGAAATAACCATATCAATAGTTGTTGAGAGTACATTTCAATAAGAAACACAGTTTGTAACCTCAATTGAAATACGACCACTATTGAAATATTTTTTTTTCAAAAGTGGGTGAGACTTCATTTAAATATAATAACCATAGGTTTCAAGCACTATTGAAATACCAGCACTACTGAAATATTTAATAGTGGGTGAGATGCATTTCAATATGGTAACCATAGGTTTCAACCACTATTAAAATACTACTAGTATTGAAAGAAAAGTTTCACCGCGTCCGCAACTTTTGAAATAATTATTTCAATATATTGGATTAACTGTTCAATGTACTATTGAACTCAATAATTTAATCCATATTAAAATCTTTATTTTAAAAGTGAACATTATTTCAGTAGTGGTTGCAACATATGTTTGTTATTGAAATGAATCTCACCCACTATTGAAATAATTGGTCGTATTTCAATAGTGGTTAATACCTATGTTTGTTATTGAAATGCATTCTCAACCACTATTGAAATAATTATTTCAATTGTGGTCGTATTTCAATAGTGGTTATTACCTATGTTTGTTATTGAAATGCTCTATCAACCACTATTGATATAATGATTTCAATAGTGGTTGTATTTCAATAGTGTTTACTAACTATGTTTGCTATTGAAATGCACTCTCAACCACTATTGATATAATTATTTCAATAGTGGTCATTATTTCAATAGTGGTTTCAACATGACGGTGTTATGCGGAACCTGCTTTAAGAACATTCCATATCAAGATTTGCAATAAAAATGTTGTTGAAAAATGGATGGGCTGTTAATTAATTACATGTACGTTGTTTTTTGGAAGTACGCAGGAAAAGTATGATAAAGAGATGAATTTCAGATAATCTGAAGGGATTTACTGATAACGGGCCCTAAAAATATATTTAGCAATAAGAAGTGATGTGGTTTAAGATTCAAGGTGAAAATGTATTTATTGTGTCAAAAAGTGATGCTTTCAAAATTGAAGTCCGAAAACATTTCTAAAAATGTGCAAAATTCGGAGGAATTACTGTTTCTGTGAGCATTGGA